TTTTCATGGCAGATGTTTGGACAAATATATTCCTTGGTTCCACCAGTCCAGACCTTCATAGCTCAAACCTGCTATGCTACATACACTGATTCGTCTCATCTTCATCCCTTCATATTCCATTGGTGAGGAATAAGTTCTACTCATCCAAACCTGTTGCAATGTGAAATGAACTCCTGAGAGGATGCTTTCCTAATCACAACAATCTTTACCTCTCCAATTCAATGGTAAATTATTATCTATCCTACATATCTTCATAATATTGCTCCCTCTGTGTATGCACTTACATTTCCAACTAGTACTTTGAGTTGTTCTTGAGGTTTGTATTGGGTAAATAATTGTTAAAAAAATAACAGATACAGACAGTCCTTCGAAAATATGGAAGTAGTGACAGTTTTTTGCAACATCCACTAATTTTTCTTTTCAGAATCAGAGAGAAGGCATGTACCACATTTTTAACTTTAGTCAGCATATTGCCTTTTTAGAAAATAACAACTTTATTTGATATTTGATTTCTCTCTAGCCATTTTTATAGTTTTATTTAATTATTAGTTTGAGAAAGACAAGCCCCTCCCCAACATTTATTTGGCAATCAAATAGGTGAATATGCTGAAAAATAAATTTATTTATCAGAAAATATTTTTGCCTATTTTCTACAAAGCCAAGTCAAATATCACAATTCACTTATTAAATGTCTGAATAGTAATTAAAAGCTTTTCCTGTCGACGCTAAAGTTTCGTTAATTTCATCGAACATGAGAAACCTATTTTTAGAAATAGGGGAGGACTTGAAATTTATTTTTTCAATTAACCTTATGCCATGTGAAATGAATTATTAAAGAAAAAAAACACTGGAAAGTGAAATTAGTGTTTTGCTGATAAAAGAGAATATTAAAAAAAAATATGTCAGACAGTTGAATCAGAAAGCAAATATTTAACAATGCTGACATTATTATTGCATATTTTGAAAGACAGACATTTCCTGTAGGAAAATTCTTCCAGGATATGTTCTTTTAATTGATGCTTTTTTAACACAGTTGTTGTTTAAATATTTGTATCTATAACAACATCATAATTAATGTAGACATGAATTCCATTTAAGTAATGTGATGTCTGCCAAGAAAGAATTGTTAAAAAAACACAGTAAATATAACCAGAAAAGCTTTCTGAATTATTCTTAATTTTGAACTTGTATTTCTTTCATCTTCATTTCAGCAGCTTTTTGTGAAAACAACTCAGATCCATGCTCTTTGCTGATAGACATAAACTGATTGTTTGAGTAGTTGCAATAAAAAGCAACTAAAATTAAGATGAAAGAAATACTAGTTCAAAATTAATAACGAAAAAGTTTTCATTTCAAAGGTATGTCATTGCATGACCTGAAAGCCATATGCAGAATTATATTATATCAGATTATATAATGTTTGCAAATCATATGTTTACACAATAAAATTGATATTTACCAAATGCTGATAAAGTTGATAAGTTTTTTGATCAGGAATAGAGATTTTATCCTCAGATTAGTGTTTGGGGATTTTAGAACATCTCCAGTGGAGAGCTTATACACAGAAGGTAAGGAAACACCTCCACATTTACAGTGGACTAAACTGGCACTATAGTACTATGTAAAAATAAAATCATGCCCTACCATCCCAGCTTTCAGCAGTGCCTCAAGGACACATGGCACAGTGGATAAAGGCGTTAGTTAGATCCAGTGACAGGACCTAAAGGGTGTCAGTTCAATACCCGGTTAAGGCAGTGGAGAACTTTCAGAGGAAAATTAACAGGAGATAACTGATAACTGATATCCATTAAACATGGCACACGGAACTAGAACAGTCTACCCCAGTGAGCGAAATAAGGGGTTCAGTCCGGCATTCCAACCACCTGAAGAAAGCCCGGAGCATACAACAGCCGAAACATTGTAATATGGCGACAAAGATGAGGACAATAGTCCAAATAATGTAAATAATGTACATAATACCTCATCTCAGAAATATAGACAAAACCAATTGACTCTTCATGTTAATAATAAACAGGAAATTATGCCTTTTAAGATCTTCCATACTAACTAAAAAGTGAAATGAAATGAAGTTAATAATTCATCAACCAAGTCATCTGGGTTGAATGTTGGTAAATCACTCTCTACATTGTAATGTATGAAGTATTTATTTCCTATTTTTTCATTTTTGAGTAAGCAAGACTGTCTGTTTGCTGCCTCATAGAGACTTTGCATAAAGATGTCTGTGTGCTCTCTGTAACTTATATCAAATCAGCATACATATGTTACTTTATACTTTCTCTGAATGTGATAACTCAAAGGGGAGGACATTTATTTTTTGGAGGAAATTTTCTGACTCCCACCGAGTCTATTAAAACCACCCAGTTTATTAACATTGCACTTTTTGATCCTGTTGTAACCTAGGGAATCATACTGAATAGAATAATCAAGTGATGGTTGGTAATGAACAATAATACTTAGGACAAGAACAACACATATAAGATTTGCCAGCGGCGCGTAGAAGAAGTAGTCAACTGCTAGAAGTGTGTCAAGTGAATTCCACATTGAATCTCCAACTGCAGACCAACATACAGTATTTACTACTGCATTTATACAAATGGGGACATTATCATCCGTAGGTATGCTACAATAGATCTTATAAATGATTTTCCAACCACCACTTTTATTAAGACCACCTATTTATTGCATACCAAGAAAAATTCAACTCCCCCCAACCAATTATTAAGACTCTCCCCATTTTATTAAGCACCTACAAGTACCTTTTAATTTACTGTGAATATAATATAATCCTGCACTATCCTAAAATATGCTGTTTAACTTATTACAAATGAACCTATTAATAATTTTATTGGAATGCTCAAAATTAGAAATAAATAAAAATCTATTTCCAACCAAATTAGAATACAGCCAGTATTTAGCCACAGACAATATTATGCTGTTTTTTGTATAACCATTGTTTACAAAATGTAAGCATTAAGGAAACAGGTTTAAATGGACAAAATACAAGTGGAATAAAGATCTTTTTGTGTGCAAAAAATTTTAGAAAATTAAGAGTCCCAATCTTCTTCATAGAAATAAAAGTTTTAAAATGGTGATTGTAATGTTAATCTTAACCATTTCCTTGGGGAAATATTTGGAATTCATTAACCAAACAGCCAGTGCTACTTGAATTATGCTTTTCTTCACTAATTGGCCATCAGCCTGGGATCAAAGTGTAATATCTTTTCTTATTTCTAATGGTATTACTAGCTCTTTTCTTATAAGGAAACATTCAGCATTCATTTACTGAATAACCAGTGATACTTTTGCTTAAAATTTATAAAATCTTTATATTAAGACTAATTTTCAGGAAAATAAGTTTCTGAAATCCTTTTTCTATGTGCTATATCCTTTCACAACATAGGCGATCATGGCTCTCCACTTCCTCCTTGTAGCTCTCAATAAGTTTTGTACCTCTGCCACATCCCCCAGACCATGTTCTGTCATCCACTTGCTTAAGCCTGCCAGGTTTGTCATGAGTTGCTTTCCCTTGTCTCTCTATTCCCCTCTATTTGACCTGTGAGTATCAGATTCTCCAGACCCTCCTTTCTCATTACATGTCCCAGAAATTTCAACTGCCTCTTCCTGGTGTTAAGTATAAGCTTCCTCTTTGTTTGCATCCTCTCCAAGATCTCATCATTGCTCACACGCTCGGTCCATTATATCCTCACACTTACCGTTATTAATGTTTCCAGTGTTGATGGAGGTTTCTTTCCTAACTATTTCTTTGCAGTAGTATGGAATGCCAATATTTTGATTATGGCATTATTTTTTCTTTGAGTTATATGTGTCATCAATTTTAGTTATTGATGGTGTTGAAAGTCCTTAAGTAATATGCTTTGTGTTATTTTTGTACACATCTTTGTTCAAAGAAGGATGATCCTTGCTAAGACCTACAGGATTCATTTGTTCCAAGCCATAAAATTTAAAACTGTATAAAGTGTTTCGTTTTGTTTTTTGTCTGCCTTCTCTTCTTAATTTACTATTGTCCTCATCTTTGTTGTTTTCACAACATTTTGACCATTGTGCCCACTGGTCTTCATCAAGTGCTAGCCTAGCCAAGTAACCTACTGGGAATTTTGAACTAAGCCCTTTATATAATCCAGTGATTCTCACCCACCATGCCACAGCACACTAATGTACCGAACAATCTTCTTACGTATGCAGCAAAATATTTTCATGGCATATATATATATGTTTGTGTGGAAGCAGTAATTGTACAGTGTTAGGATTTAAATAAATGAATAAGTATTAATATTTTTTTTAAATAATTCTTTTCACTATTCTTTGATTATGTTATTTTAAATACTTTGTTTTAATATTGTGTGTATTTTTTTTTAATCTATGGTTATATTACGTAACATTTAAATGTACACTCTTTAAAAACCCTCTAAAAGTTTGCCGTGATATTTTCATTTACTCTTGTTGCTTAAAAATATTGAGAAACACTGATTTAATCTATAGCAGTAGATTGTTTTTGTTTTGACCTTGTCTAGGGAATATCTCATCTAGTTCTTATTTAGTTATATTCAGCCCATTTCCAATGAGACCAAGTACACACTGCCTGGCACAGGGATTGAACTCACAATCATTATGTCATCAAATTCATGAATAAACACTTTAATTCACTAAGCTAATGTCCTGTGGATGGATTAACACCCAATGAGGCTGGAAGGCAAATGGCTAAGACGTTTTGATAACAAGAAAAATGAGGATAATAGTTTGAATGGAAATAAAATAATGATAACTCCATATCCTAGAAATGGTTTCCTTAAACTCTGATTATGGTTTTAGATATAATTAAATGTTTCCAGATGGGATCAGATGAAAAAAATTAATTTCTGTTTTATTTTTATTATTAAATAAACTGAACAACAATAATTTACATCCTTTTTTTTTCTCTTTTCAGTGTTGTGAGCATCGTAAGGCAGAACAATGTACGTATGTTAAATATTTTGGTTGCAATTCCTGGTTCCGTACCTTCGAAAGACCTTAATGAGGGTCTTCTTTTGGCAGCTAAAGAAGGTTACACCGAATGTGTCGATTGCCTGATAAAAGCCGGGGCTGATATTGATACAACTGATAATTCTGATCAGACACCTTTTTACCTGGCTGTCTGCAACAATAAAATCCCTTCGGCACTCTTTCTTCTCAAAGCTGGGAATGAATGCGATGCACTTGCCAATAATGGTTTTGCTGCCATTCATATTGCCGTCAAGAAAAATTTTCATGAATGTGTGCGGACTCTTCTGGCAAATGGTATAAAGATCAACAGTCGAGATTCTCAGAATAATACACCATTAATTCTTGCAGGTAATTTACCATTTTTCATCACCTGTATCCCTTCCAATTGTTGCGCATATTTTAAACAGTTAATTAGAAAATGATTGTTTTATTTGTTTACTTCTTTTGTTTTTATTAAAACTTCATATTTTCTTGACTGGAATTTTAAATGTTTGGAAACTGGAAACGTTTTTCTTTTTCACTATTTTTCACTTCAACTGATTGACTGCTTAAAGGAATCGTTCAGAAAATCTGTTTCTTTTATTTAAAATAGATGGAATAAAATATTCATAATTTGAAAAAAGAAAACATTGAAAATGCATCTTCTTATCTCCTATTATGATTCCACATGATACTATGGAAGGGCATAAGGGAACATTTATTTAGAAAAATTGCAAAAATATCTCAGAACACAAGTATAAGAAGGTGCTAAAAATTTCTTGACCAGACCAAAAAAGGGAATAAGATTTAGCAATGAAACATTATTAATACTATTTCACTTATTCATCATCTTGGGTAAGCCGATAAACTACATCCGATAGCAAGGCCTCTGATCAGTAAGTTTTGAGAAGCATGGAACTACATCTTAATTGCTGGTGTTCCCAGGTCCACCTTGAACCTGTTAGGGCCCCAGCTATGGGCAAATAGTTAACACCTTAAACTGTGGTCAAAACACTATGAAAGTGTAAAAATAGGTTTTAATGCTAGCAATACATTTTTGTAAAAGATATTACCAGCAATAAAAATCTTGTCAACATTAAATAACCCATTGAGGTTGATATGCCGTAAAACAAAACAAATCAAACCATTTATTCATTCTACAGTTCACATTATTTTGGAAATTTTTTTAATTTACTAAGAAAAATTTTGATAGCCATTGAAATAATTGCTGTATCTAGGGTCTCAAAATATCTATGCAGGATTGATTGGTTTTTATGGCTTATCAACACTTTGGGGGTATTTAAAGTCAAAACATATATTGAATTGTAAGAATAATTCTTTTTTTGTGAGGTAATATTGCATTAACAATTTTTGAGAAAGTCCTACTATTTAACCCATAGCTGGGGGAAGAAGATGGATTCATACCTTTCCCAAGGTTATTTGCACATAAGTGAATGTAACAAATTCGACTAGAATTTGAACTCAGCTCTCCAATTTCTCATTCTGATCCACTATCCATTACACCACTTGCACATCCGTTCATGCTAGAGAATCCCTTCTTCACAGTGGGGTATGATGGGCACTTGTCACCCAATGTTTGCATCAGACACTCATGGATATCCTTTGGAATCTTCTTCTGCAGGAATATCATGATGGGCCAGAATTCAATGCTCGAAAATGGCATCATCGTTCAGCCTGTTATATGAAAGTAATTCAAAAATAAGCAGAAGGATCCTAAAATTGGCAATTATCTCCAAACCATTCAAAGATTCCTTCCATTTCAAACTCCTCTTAAGCTCTGGAAACAGGAAATAGTCACCTGGTGCCAGATCTGATAAGTAGGGCAGATGGTTGATCTTCTCAAACACAAAATTCTTCAAAATATCCATCATCTTGCAAAACCTGTGAGCAGGTATATTGCTCTTCAAAAAGTGAATATCTTTTGACAATTTCCTTCACATTTTTATTTTTTTCAATGCCTCCTTTTACTACCACATGATTTGTGATAGTAGAAAATGTTATTACTAAGTATGGAATTAGTACACTTAGAGATTGTTCACCTTGATTTTTTATTTAACACTAAATAAACTAATCATAGATAAGAAACAAAACATTTTTTATTTAATAACTGAACATTTGGTTTCATAAAATATACCCTAAACAAACTGTATTAAATTATTTAAACTAATTTTTTCCAGGCCATGTAGAAGAAAATATTATGGAATTCATTGATTAAAAATAAGAATTAATATTTAGTTGTCCCTCCTTGATCTTTATGATAGCCTTAGTTATTTCAGGCATGGATTCCAATAAATAATTATTGGAATCCATGCCTGAAATCAATTAAATCAATCTCCTAAATAAAAAACCTAAATGAACATCCTCTAAGTGTGCTAATTTCATAATTTTTGCCAGGGGTTATAGTTCAGTCATCAAAATACTTTCCTTATGCTAACTACAACTTTTACTAACTTTGAGGTTTTTAATTTTTTTATCTGTAGAAAACCCTAGTGCTACAGTTGCATGTACTGTTGTTTGGTTTTGTTATATTCTGTGCTAATAGGAATATATACTTGAAAAACAAGGTGGATAAAATAAATAAAGGTTTATTATAAAAAACCAGTACAATACAGTAACAGTTATGCACAAGGTCGTCTCAAGTCAATCTAGTAGCGAATGCTACTATTGGAAATTTGGTAGTTCTCACATAAGTCTGAGTCGTACTCAACAGATCCCAGCTAGTTGATATTTACCAGCATCTCCATGAGGTAGGATGTGGCACAAGGCCAAGCTTGATGTGGGGTAATCTGAGCCCTTAGGCTTAACCAGAAATTTTCTATAGACCCCATATAAAATGGGGTCAGGTAGCTGTTTCTTGAGATGAGACTCTGCCCTTCAACATAGATTTGTCTGGCTTCCTCTCTACCTGGAGACAGAGAGTTCAACCAGTACAGCTGGAAAAGATTCCAGCTAGTGTATTTATTAATCTCCCCATGTGATCAGATATGGCACAGGGCCAAATTTAATGTGGGGCATCCGAGCCCATAGGCTCAGCCAAAAATTCCCCATAGATCCTGCATAAACAGATTCAGGTCTGCCTACCTCTCTGGACGAGACTCTGCCCTTTGACATAGCCTCATTCGGGTTCTTCTCTGCATGAATGCAGAGAGTTCGACAGCACAGCTGGAATAGATTCCAGCTAGTTGACTTACATTGACTTATAGATACTTATAGGTTGTTACTACCTATAGTGTAGTCACTCATGGGGATGACAGGTTTTTCCATTACATCATATCTCCAGATCATAGTTATGTGACCATGATTGATCAACACTGACAAATTGTTACAATACAACTGAAAATGCTGCAATCAACTTCAAGGTAGACATTTGATATCATTTCTAATCAGTATTCAGACATTTTAGCAAACACTTAGCTGGCAGTTTCTGCATAACCAACTGCTCATGAATTATAAATTCCTTACATATATCTAGTGTCACAGTAATTTCTTGGCCAAGATTCAATAATCAACCAAAATTTGGTCAGTAACATGATCAACAATTTCAGGAGTTGATAGCATCGAAGACTTTGCAGTCCATGGGGCAACTTGGGTCTCAAAATCTCAACACTGAAAGTTGGCACACCACTTCTTCCGAGTTCAATATAACAGGCACTTGTCACTCAAGTGTCTTTGTGTAATAGACACTCGTGGATTCCCTTTGGAGTTTTCTTCTGCAGAAACAGGAACTTCATGACAGCCCAAAGTTCAATTCTGGAAAATTCCACATTTTCCATTGACAAGTTTCAATCAATCATCTAAAAAAATTCAAAATAGGCACAAGGATCCTAAAATTCTCACTTCATAAAAAAAAGAACATCCTTTCAACTTACAATGATAAAATAGCATACAGAGCTTAGGAAGGGGGTTGGACTGAGATTTTTTCAGCACCTCCTTATAAGTATAACCTCAGGAATAATTTTTATAACTATTCCTTCTGTTATCATTCTCCCACTTCTTTCTTCTTCCTTCCCCTTTCTATTTCCTCCTCCTTCCTGTTTTTCTCCCCACCTCCTCTCCAATTTTCCTCCTCTTTCTGTTTTTCTCCTCCTACTGTTCTCCTTTCTATTTTCCTCTTCTTTATGTTCTCTAACTCTCTCTTCCCTATTTTTACTTTTTCTATTTTTCCCCTCCTTCCATTCCCCTTTATGTTTCCCTGCTCTTTCTGCTTCCCCACCCACTCCCTTCTGTTCCTCTCCTATTTTTCTCCACTTCCTGTTTTTCTACTCCCACTGTTCCCATTAATGTTTTCCTCCAGTTTTTGTTTTCCTACTTCTGCCACTCTTCTCTCCTCCTCATATTTTTCTCTTCCTCCTGTTACCTTTTGTTTCCTCCTCTTCATGTTTTCCTCTTCTTTTTGTTTCCCCCTCCCTCCCCCTACTATTTTTCTTCTCCTCCTCTTACATTTCTGTTTCCAAAAAAGGAGAAAATGAAGAATTGATAATGAAGGATATTAGTAAGGGAAGAAAATTATGCCAAAAAGTATTTTTTGTATAAAATAAATGTTTTTTTCATGTTCATATATATAAATATATGATAAACACTTCCTCAAAATAAACACTTCCTCAAAATAAACACTTCCTCAAAACTTCAGAGTTACACAAAATCTTCAACAAAAACACTGTGAAGATAAGTTATAGTTGTACCAGCAACTTAGAAAATGCAATTAAGAAACAAAACACCAGGAATTTTAATAAAGATAGCATGCAAGATAATAATATAACTAATCACATGTGCAATTGTAGAAATAAAAATAAGTGCCCACTGAATGGAGTATGTAAAACAGAATCTGTAGTCTACAAGTCAGAGCTGGAGAATGGAAAAAAGGCCAAAATGGAGTGTATTTTGGGTGTTGTAAGTCAGCTTTAAGAAAAGATGATATAACAATCACTCATCATTTAAGCTAGAAAGTTACAAACATTATACAAAGCCATGTGTATTTTAAAAAAAGGCAAGCTAAATATTATTTGAAACATTATGTGTGGTTTGTGTCAGGAAGAAAAGCTGGCAATTATGTTATATCCAGAGCAAGGCAACTTGTTAAATGAAAAATCTTAAATTGTCAAAATTTGAAGTAATGGCAGCTTGTAAACATGCAAAAAAATATCTACTGGAACAATATGGATGAGAGTACCAAAACTTTTTTTTGTCTCCTCTTCTCCCCTCTTACATATTTTCTCTACTCTTCCTTTACCATTTCCCTCCCATTAAATTTTCCTTTATTATCATAAGTGTATAAATACAGTGATAGAAAAACAATTGACCTTTTCACTGCCTGAGGAACCCTTCATTGGTAGAAACTGCAGTTGCAGAATAGGTTAGTGTTTGTAATATTTTATATATATATATATATATATATATATATATATATATATATATATATACCTCTGGGATATGTAGTAGACTCAGACAATACCAGAGGTATATATATATATACATATATATATTAACTGATTTAAAATATGGTTTCTTCGCTACACAAGAATTACTATGTTTCAAAAACCGAAGCTAAAAACTTCAAATTTAATTATATAATTAAATTAAAAGCATTAGCGAATTTTGCTTGAAGATAACACAGAACCATATTTTAAATCAGTTAATTTATAATATTTATGCACTGTAAATTTACATTGAGCACTGTTTTGTAAAAAAATAAAATATCAATAAGAACACCAGATTATATATCTTACTGTTCTTTTTTTTTTATTATATATATATATATATATATATATATATATATATATATATATATATATATATATATATACCTCTGGGGCATGTAGTACAGCCTCAGACTCAATGGAAACAGGACGAGCAATAACTTAGCACTACTAAGAAAGAACATAGCAAGCAATCCCTAGGCATGGACAGTTGAATAATAATAATAATAATAATCTATTACATTAGATTAAATAAAGGTTGCAATTTGAAAATCCCTGAAGGTTACCTGGAGTGAGAGATACCTGGAGGGTACAATGGCTGAAACATTGTAATAATAACAACAAAGATGAAGGCATTAGTCCAAATGTAAATCATCCCAGGAATTGGTTATTATTTATTTATTATAAAAATGGAGTGTATGTTTTTTTTTTGTTTAAAAAAAAAAAATTTGAATATGCAAATCCTCTAGGTGGCCTATCGTAGTGGATTAAAAAAGTGGTTTGTGAATTTGGAGGCATAGTATTTCTGAGTTCAAATCCTGGAGCATGTAGTACAGACTTAGACTCAATGGAAATAGGATGAGCAATAACTGAGCAGTACTAAGAAAGAACATGACAAGATATCCCTAGAGATGAACAATGAAATCAGAACATTATCTATGTAGATTATATAAAGTGTCCAGTTCAAAATTCACTGAAGATAACTATCAACAGAGAAAAAAAGTCATACTTTAAAAATGAATTGGTGTTCTCTGTGATATCTGTTAAAAAAGAAAATTATAATCAAGATCGGGTCAATTTTACTAGGGCTCATAATATTGTAATTGTTTCCATTTCTTTACCAGTTTCAACAAATCACAACCTTTTTTAACCCAATAAAAGAATTCTACTTTGGACCACTGGATTACTCAGCTCTCCATGGGTGAAAAAGTAGTTAGGCATTGAGATGCAAATCTTTTTACCCTTTTGATTCATGCCCTTGGCATTTTTAGGCATAGAACTTGTGACTTTGGACTTATGATTTTTTGGATCTGACCCTCCCTATTGTTATTGTTAACTGGAATAGTGAATAAGGATATTAGTCTGACTGTAAATACTGCTACTAAAACTATTAGATTTAGAACTGATTGTCCAACAAGTGAATTCATTATTCATTTGTATAAACATGTAAAATATGAACAAAGTACTAATTAACAAGCTCATTGACCAAACTATTACTTGTGTAATAGGTTTGAACCTCACTGAGTGCCCAACATTTTTTGGTCTTGTGCCAAACTAAACTTAGTATATATCTATATATAAATTTATGCTTATATAAAAACATGGGTATGGAAATTTACAAGAATAGATCAGTAAGTTTATAACCTATTATAATCAGTAGAAGGAGTTTGTAATTTTCAGGCTATAAAATTAATGTTTAGTTTATCTAATTAATAGAGAAGCATTGGGTTAAATGCATTGACAAGGAAAGAAATTATGTTGAAAAATAGTTACTTGTTATGTAATTAAATACTCTTAAATACTCATTAGGCAACAAACTTATTGATCTACCTGTATAATTAGCTTAGTCTGACACAAGGCCAAATGAGAATAAAGAATGAGAGATAGAAAGTGTGGGGTATGGTCAGAGTCAACATTGAACCTCTGTAGTCTAATGCAATGATCCATGTTGAAGAAATTGTAATAACAAAATGAATGCATAAACATAACTAAAGCTTTATTCAACTTAGAATGAAGCAGGTTCTATTGGACTTAAACTACAGAATACATTGGAAGCAGGGATAAGCTGTGCCACAAAAAGATTGTGCTTCACCAATGTTCCAAGTAGGGAAGGCCTTTGAAAATCAACATTTTACATTTGGATTTAGAATGGATTGGAACACTTATGATAAATATGCAACTATATATATATATATATATATATATGTGTATTTAGTTGCATTGATGTGAGTTTGTGACTCTGGGTATCACGCCCTTTGTGATCATCAGACAAACTGATTAATTTTTCAATTTTGTATTAATTTATGTTTGTATATATTGGTGTTTTATGATAGTGGGAGGAAAAATTGGTGATGAATTCAGTTTCAATGATATTATATATGCCCAGACAGACGGTGTTGCAATGGGTAGTCCTTTTGGTCTAATACTGGCTAATATTTTTGTAGGTTTTCATGAGGGACGTTTGATATGTTCCATAAACCTTACATTTATACGCAGTACGTTGATGACACCTTTTCAATTTTTAATTCTGCAGAAGACGCCATTGACTTCTTTGCAGAACTCAATCCTTTTCATCCATCCCTTCACTTTACTATGGAAGTTGAGAGTGATGGTACTTTGCCCTTTCTAGATGTTCTTGTAGAATGCAAGGATGGTGTTTTTGTCACCAGTATCTTTCATAAACACACTTTTACAGGCTTGTACACAAGTTGGAAGTCTTTTGTTCCTAAGGCCTGCAAAATTAGTCTACTTTCTACCCTGGTTAATCACACTTTGATGATTTGTTCTCTTAGCTTGTTAAACAAAGAAATTGCAAGGATCCAATAAATTTTTGAAGGTAATGGTTATCCTACTAATGTCATTAAATGCGTTATTGATAGAAAAATTAGACAGTTTAAAGAACCAGTGGTTCTAGGAACTAGTTGGTGCCCAATTTACCTGAAGTTACCTTAATTAGGCAGGAAGTGCCAGTTGCTTGCTGACAGAATTTCAGCTTGTGTTGCTTCATGCTATGATACTGTCAAGTTGCATATTGTTCCAGATGAGATCTGCATTTTCATCCTTTAGCAAGGATCGGTTGACCTGTTTTCAGAATAGTTCAGTAATATATAAATTAAAATGCCGTTGTGATGCGGTGTATATAGGATGGACCAATCAAAGGCTGGAAACACGTATTACACAACACATACCTGCTTATTTGCATTCTAGTAGTCAGAGTTGTGTTAAAAGAACCACTCAAGCAGTGCATGACTCCTTCATTGAGTAGCATTTACTGGACAAGCCTGATTATGCCAGCAATTATAATTATGCATTTTTTCCATTTTACACAGTGCTCACTCTGTTCACCATCTTTAAGTTTTTCAGGCTGTTTATATTAAGTTTCATCAGCCGACCCTATGTCAACAAAAGGAACATTTTATTCATTCCTTACATTTGGTTGAGGAATTATGAATAACATTTTTCTATTTTATACTCTTTTTGGAACTTCATATTTCATTTTTAGTTGTTAATTTAGTTATAATTAAAATCTATTTTAATTGTGTTTCAATTTTCCCTACTCATTCGTTATTTACTAATGTGTCTTTTATTGTTTACTGCTGCTCACCAACATTCATGTTTTGAGAAAGTTTTGACCGTATATATATATTTTAATTAAGTTTACCTCCAGAAAGGCAGTAAAACCACCAAGACACAAGGGATTACTGGGTGTGGAAGAATTAGAAACAGAAACATTACTAAGAAGTGAGAACAAAAGATAATCAGGAGGACAGTAGATATTGATTGACATTGCATTTAAATTTTTGAAGATCAAAGTTGGCTGAAAAGCATGGAGCTGGAAGGGAGTTCCACAAGCGATAAAAGAAGATTAGAATTTTCAGTTACATCTAGCCAACTCAACTGTAAATTTATAAGATCTTGACGCCAGTCTAGTACTGCACATAAATTCAAAAAGTCTAGCTACCATATCAAAAACCTCATCTATTATATATTATATTATATATATATAATATGTATATGTAGATACAAGTGAAAATATATATAAACATTGAAAA